GCTAAACCTCCGGTTTCGATTCAGGGTGGTCCTGGAATCGGTCTGGAAGACTGTTTGAGATTTTTAATATATTTTTTAAATTTTTCGATTACGGGCCCAATACCGAACTTGACTTTAAATGAAATTTGGGCCGTGGGATCATTTTGAGTGTTGGAGATCCAACAATTCATTTTTTTGTTATAAATGGTTTCGGGCGGGCTGGTTCGGACCCAGAACCGCCAATGGTCGGATTTTTTAAACTGGTTGTGGATCTATTTAAACGTTAAGATCTAACAGTTAGATTTTAATGAAACCGTTTGAGTCGTCGGCCCGGCCCAGAACTGGGAGTTCAATAATTAAAAAACAAATCGAAAAAAATCAGAATAAATAAATACCCCCTCCCCCAAATTGCTGAAAAATCACACCTTGTCTTACCCACTTTTCTTGCTATATTCTCTTTCTATGTTCTCTAATTTTGTGCTCAGTTTTAGATAAATTTGGTCCAGTTCTAGATAAATTCGGTTCCAATTCTATAAATTCTCTCATTTCGGTTTTGGTTCTATAAATTCTATACACAATACTCTCTCATTTCTATAATTTTCACCCCTCGTTTTATTTTATAAATTATATTCAAGTTATAAAACGTCAAATGCTCGTGGTGGTGCCGGTGTACCGCCCCATAGTGCACAAATGTAGCATCTACAAGTGATCATCCTCCATTGCCTACGCCGACGATAGACCGGGACGTTCTGGTCTACCCGATGACATTGAGCTCAATAGAGTCCAACACGTCTTTCAATCTATTGATGAGATCCACAAAAGCTTACCGTTCGAGGAGGACGAGGACGAGGACTAGGAGCAGCCGTACATCGATGATTTCAATCCTACTCAAGGTCAACCTCAAGGTCCTCAACGGACGGCTGCCGGCTGGGGTCAATAGTTGACATTCGACATATTCACAAGGCATTTCATGAATGTTCCCAAACGAAAAAAAAAAATGTAACAAACATTTTATATGTTTTGCTACCATTGCCTGCCCAACGCCAAGGAGTATGCTTCTAAAATCGGCGATGGGTACAGAACCATGCAACGACACGTACGGACACATCATCCAGCCGAAATGGGGATTCCCACGACCCAAATGCCACAAATGCAAATCCCGATAAGTAGCACTGCATCTGCGACTAGACTAGATTCTTCTTCTTTATTTCAATACTCTCATAAAAACTATAGACGTAATCTGGTTAAATTTGTTTGTTTCATCTCTTCATTCTGTTTTGGTGATTCTAATTTATATGAAAATTTCGCTCAAATAGATTTAAACCCGACCGTGTCACAGATTCTACATACTATTCTCACTCGCGATATTTAAAATATAGTGGGTCAGAAAAAATTAACTTTGGTGCAAACTTTTAAACATTTAAACCAATGAATTTCTATTTGTTGTAACATTTATTCCGTCATTGACAAGACAACCATTATATGAGAATTACGTATCATGGGTAGATGATAATTTTACATTACAAAAACATTTAATTGCTTATACGAGATTTAATAACTCTCATATTGCTGCTAATATCGCTCGTTTATTTGCATATGTTTTGAATACTTATAGAATTGCTAAAAGACTTTTTTTTTTCATTTATTTTGATAATGCTAGTTTTAATACTGCTTCTTTAATTGATCTTAGAGAAATTTGTTGTCCCCTTGGTGGGTCCTTAATCTTTGTGTTCAAGCGGGTTATAATGTTTTGAAAGAGTTGGTCACACTCATTAGCGATACCGTTATGTACTTACAACATCGTCGTAAATAAATGAAAAAATGGGGAAAACATTGAAGAGAGATGATGTTATACCTAAGAAATTCCAAGCGAACGTTTCTACCAGGTGGAACTCAACTTTTAAAATATTAACAAAAACGTGTGAATATGTTGTTCAGTTAGAAACGGTTTACAGGAGTCCTGACCGTCGTGATTGTAATGTCACCATTATTATTGATAATTGGACAAATTTTAAAACACTTATAGAATTTATAGGAATATTTCATATCGTTACTAATGTACTTTCTGGTATTTATTATCCTACTAGTCAACTTGTGCTAAGTCGATGTGTAGCCGCAATGTGCGGCTTTAGAGATATTTTTGCTAGTGATCCTGACAGACTTATATGTTAAGAAAATGATTAAATTTTTATTTTTACACTTATGATACATATTTAGTTGCATGTTTGTTAGGTCCATCACTACGTGAAAGTGGCTTGCTCAGCAACGCCACACTTATTATAATGTTATATATAAACTCTCACTTCCCTCTAATGTTATTACTGTCACTGAAAAACCTAACTCACGGTTGCTCATCGAGCAAGCAAAAGTTTTATTGTATGAATTGTTTAGAGAAATAACAATCAGACTTAGAAAAAATTCAACATCATTTTCTTCTTCTGCTTCAGGGTTTTTATTCTAATTATCTACAAACGATGCACAGATAGACTCAAACTTTGTTGACTGGTGGTCAAATTATAATTTATACATGAAGCTAAGATCCAAAGTGCAATGAAGAGTGAATATGATGAGCTCGATCACTGCTTGACCTCGAATCTGTGACTTACGATTGCTAAACCACTAGTTTCGCTACTCATATTCGATGTACTGGATTGGTGGTAAAAAATGAGTACCAATTATCTTGTTCCATCCTTGATGGCCCATGATATTTTCGTTGTCCCAACCTCAACTGTGGCGGTTAAACAAGCATTCAGTGAGAAAGGATACACACTGGATACACGACGGTCGAAGTTGACACCACAAAACTTGAAGGTTCAAATGTTGTTGAGTTATTGGAAGAAGGCCGAATGAAGGGTACAAACGTCCATGCTAACTACCGAAGATAATGATAAAGAAGAGGCATCCATTTTTACTAGTACTAGTGCAACCGTCCGAACCGAAGATGACTACGACGCCTATGATTACTAGAGCATTCAAAGCATCCTGGCATCTTCTTTCATCAAGGTAAGTAAAGTAAGATAACTACGAGGACTTTGATTCTCAAGGCTAAGGGGTACGTGGACAACTTAATTGAGATATTATAAGTTATATCATCATTGTTAACCGAAAAGAATTTAATTTAATTGATATTTAACTTATAATATGTCATCTAAG